GGTGCTCCTGGAGCCCAAGAAAGGGACTGAGTTGCTCTGGGTGAGAAGGATCAGGAAACAGTATTGGTTCCCCAGGTGTCTGGGGCCCCAAGACTAGGAATGGCACAGGGTCCAAGCTAGAGTATAGAATGCCAGGCGGGGGGGCAGGGGGGTGGGGGGTGGGGTGGAAGGGTGAATGAGGCTTAGGGAGTCCCGGCGCAGAGCGCTGCGCTATAGACTTACCCCAAGAGGCCTGAGGATAGTAGTGTGGTTTTTGTCTTTAAGTCCGTTTATATTCTTTATTTCATTTATTGACTTAATGTATGTTGAACCATCCATGCATCTCTGGAATAATGTCGATTAGATCAGGATGGATGATCTTTTGGATGTTTGTATGTGCTTTTCAAGTATTTTGTTGAGTACCTTTGCATGCATGTTCATTAAGGATGTGGGTCTATAGCTTTATTTTTGTTGCATCTTTACCTGGTTTTTGTATTAGAGTGATACCAAAGGAGTATGGGAGTTCTTCCTCTTTTTGAAGAATTTAAGTACTATTGGTTGTAGCCAGACTTTTAAAGAAAATCTGAAACCTATACTGGGAAATTCTTGAATGCAGAAAATGTTTGTTAGGTAATTTATTTGAATGAATTCAACAAATGACTTTCAAAGTAATTGATGTTTAATCATGATGTAGTAATCTTCTTCAATAATGATCATTTAAATGATACACACTAACCCCCTTAATACAATATATAAAGGTATCCATGAATTAAATCATACTGCATATTTTATTGTCTCTCAGTTATGTTTCTGTGACATTACAAAAAGCATGTGAGATTTTCTATATCACTTCACTGGTTGTTTTTTGTTGATGCAGTTTCCTGACATAGATTTTGTTTCTCACGTTGGTTACTGGTCTTTTCCTGGGCCATTTTTATCTAGCCTTCTTGTGCCATCCAAATATCATGTGCAGGGAGTTTTGCTTTCTAGCATCATTAGATTTCATGCTAGATGTATTTCCTTAGCACTACTGCAGGGCCTTTTCTTATTGGCCATCAGACTTTGAAATCATCTGTTGATAACTTTCCCTCAAAATTGTCAATGGTGGGCATTATATTTACTTTTATATTTTAACTCTAGCATAGTGCTTAGTTTACAGTACAGGTCAAATATGAAACCAACACATCAATAATTCTTCATGAAACATGAGATAATAAAGGTATTTAGTGGCAATTTTCTTTTAAATTAGGTGTGGTTTATTTTTTCCCAATGGAATATTGTGATAAAATATTTTCCTTTACAGAAAAGAATATGTAATAGAAAGAATTGCATCATGTTGTCCTTATTCACTCTAACTTTTAAATTTGTCTTAACTTCATTTATATTTTTGAAGCATTCCTATGAGTAAAGTTATTATATTGAAATCATATGATTTCAGTTCATTCTTTCATCAGGATCAGTAGGAGAATTATCACAAGCAGATTAATAGTATGGTTTATTCTTTGTTCTAATAATACTTGGGAACTTCTGATTTCAAATAAGTTAGTAACAAATATTGACAGGCCAAACTTAAATTTCATTCTTAAAGCGATGACATAGGCATCACTATACTTACACATAAAAATTGTCAAAATATTACCTTACTATGACATACATATTCATAACTAAGTTTTCATGATGAAAAGGATTACTATTTTTTGGCATAGAAATATTGAGACAACTGCAATATTATTTACTTTTCATCACTATTATGTGTAACTACTCCTTGGTTCCCAGGTCAGAATAAGAGTAATTGTTCCCCATAATTAGTGGAGTTTCTTTCCCATAAAGTGTCTTCTTACCAATTTTAAATATAATATAATGATATTGTGGGAATATTATTAAATTCATCCATACACATGCTCCATAAAATTTTTAAGCTATTTCAACTTTGGGCAAAGCTCTTTTCCATTTTTCTAAGCTTTGGTTTCCTTATACAAAAATTATAAACATAAATAATGCTCACCTTAATGCCAATATGAAGAAGAATAAGTCAAAATGTAATGTCACGGGAAACACTGCTATCTTTAAAATTGCAGAGTTCTTGGGCTGTGTATGTGCAACTCAGTAGAAGAGCGTTTTTGTAGCCTGTCAAGGTTCTAGGCTCTGTCTCCATCACTGAAAAAAAATTATTTTTACTATTGTGATAAAAATATATATCATCCTATATCTGTATCATTACCTGAATCTTTCAGTAAATTTAGTTTCTACTTTGTTATTCATTTCTTTGGATTTTCTACTCCTGATCCTGCACATAGGACAATATCCTGTAGGACCAAAACTGTCAGATAATTAAAAAGATAAAAGACATCACTAGCCAAATCCACATCTTTTTCTTTTAGAAACATCTCCCGACATAATATAATAGAACAATAGTGAGCCTTTTATATATGTTTAAAGGAAATTAATTTTAGAGAATTTCCTTTATTTTTATTTGCTTTTGATGATATGATTTTTCTGCCTTTTCACAGAATCACATAGATTCAAGGTAGGCCTGAGCTGGCCTAGGAATTTAGTAGTTTGCAGATGTTCTTCCTCATCCCTAACCCTTCCCATAGGCACCATTAAGGAAAATTTTTACTACTTGAGAAAGTTTTAATATTCATCAGATTAAGGAAACCCATGGTCAGCTTTAGAATTTTAGTCTCTGCTGAGCTTTCAAGGTGTCAAGACCCTAAAATAATATGAACAGCAGGAGTAGTAAATCTTTCATTATTTCCAGTTTCCCCTTGAGCATACTGACTTTGCAATAAAGAAACTGTCATTTACACTCTTCTTTATTGCAAGGTGGGTAATAGCTACAGGGCTAAAAATACGGAACTATGTCGTTAGCCTAACTGCCATTATGATTAATGTGTAATTACTGCACATTTGCATCTACTCTTTTCACATACAGGTACTTCATAGATTGGAAGAGTGATGGGGACAGCTACTTTACAATAGATGGAACTGAAGGAACCATCGCCACTAATGAATTACTAGACAGAGAAAGCACCGCACAGTATAATTTCTCCATAATTGCAAGTAAAGTTAGTAAGTATTGGCATGGGTAGAATCAATGTTATCCTGAAATTCTGTGGATTTAACACTCTTAAATGTGTCCCTGCTGAGGTGTTTTTAATTTTTGGAGTGACAGCTGAGTGGTCTCCTGGGGAAACTCAGAAACCTGCTTCTATTCCTCATAGCATAAGTCCAGAGGAATTGTGACAGCTGCCAGAGAGCCCTGTTTGCAAGATTGCATGACTACTTAGAAGTGATTTTCATTGTGTGACCTCACTCCTTTCTAATAAATACTTTCAGCAATTCTCAGACGTGCCAACTTCTCTTCCACGCACATTCCTTGTGTCTTTATCACTGAGAGTTTCATAAGACAAGAGAGAGAAATAATAAGCATATAAAATCACCTATTCTGAAATACTTTCTGAAATTTTGGAGAGCATATTTTATTTATTGATTTTATTTTTAAACTGATTTTTGGGGAGTTCCATACAATATAGTTTGATGGCATTTAGGTCTCCTTTTTCACACACTAACTGCACCCCCAGTCCCCTTCCCAATTTAATGTACTCTTTTATGTATATAATATGTCCTACAGAATCTGATTTGTGTCCCCAAATGACCTTTATTCTGGGCTCATCGACTCTGCTTACTAAGAATCCAAAATAATCTTTTTTCCTTTTCTCCTTTGTTATATGGTTATATTATTTTTATATGTATGAATGTTTTGCCTGTAAGTATATAAGTGAACCCATGTCTTGCAATGCCTAAAGAGGTCAGAAGAGAAGAGAGTGTTAGATCCCTGGGAATTAGAGTTATGGACGATTAGTAGCAGCCATGTGGGTGCTGGGAATCAAACCCAGGTCCTTTGCAAGTACAGCTGGTACTCTTATCTTCTGAGCTGTTTTTCTAGCCCGTAAGGTTATATTTTAATGAAGATTATTGTTGTATATAAAGGAGTTTTAAGTGCAATTTTTCAGTATGTTGCCTAGACTATACACATTGTTTTAAGTTCTTTGTGTTGATCCATGGTTCACAGATGATTTTCTAAACTGAATGTGTCAATAGATGTTATTTGTTTGATGGGGCACTCAAAGATGTTACCACAGTTTTCTCAAGTTCAAGGTGAGAGTAGTAAACACTTTTCTCTTGGCAGATTTGTTTTTGAGAGCACTTTGTCTCATTTTATTATTGTGTTTTGAAAGTTTTGAGAGATCCCTTTGGAATACCTTTAAGTTTTGCCCCCTTATGTTATTGTTATGCTTACTAATTTCAACGTTCAAATTAAGAAAGAGGTATGAAATTTATTCTGCTCAGAGGGATTTCTCAGTGTGAACTCAGTCAGTGCATGTGTGTGTGTGTGTTGTGTGTGTAATCAGTTTATTTATTTATTTTTGCCTTTTAAATGTGTAGCTTTATTCATTAAAGTTTAGGTTTTTGCCAATGGTTCATTTGAAACCTGTCCCAACACACATTTTAAGTAATTTTCCCAAGTATAGCCTAACAGAGGTTCTGATCATGTAAAGTAGATTCATCAGGCAAACACATAAAAAGAAAGGGAAAAATAACCTTTAAACACTTACTGCTACCTAAAGAGGCATGTACTGTGGAAACTGAGTAAATATTAAGCTGATATGACTTTGAAAATAAAATTCACTTTGAACCCAACCCCAGCTTTGTAGCTCATATACCCTTATACTTGTACAGGACTCAAATGCCATGTGACCAGCTGCCTCAGGTCCTGTGGTCATGACATCTATGCCCTATCGAAAGTACATTATAGGTAGACTATGTTCACCTACTGTGAGCTAAAGATGTTCTTCCTTCCTTGAGTTGCTTTTGTAAGGGTATTTGCTCACAGCAATAGAAAAGCAACCAAGACATAAAAGTGATATGGAGATGTGGGACTATGGTTTTGGTACCTGGCCGTGTGATTCTTAGGTTTTTGGAACTGATTTTCAGAAAGCTGGAGAGCTTGTAACTTTGGGCTCGAAAAGTACTTGAATGCTACAGATAGAGTATAATGGGCAATGTGGGTGGATGCATACAAGACAAAATGCCAAGGGAAATGAACTTACGGGACACTCAGGTCAGGAGGCTCCAGAGGCCGCAGTTGTCCAACTATGCCTGCCATGCTCCTGTCTTGGATTGCTCACAGAAGGATATTTGCTTCTGCATACCACAATGGAACCTTCCTCATCATGTCAAATAAACATTAACCTAGCCAAAGTCTTCCTAGAAGTCACTCAATCTGCAACACACCAAGTTCTAGTGATAGTCACTGTTTTAGGAATGGAATAGACTAGAATTAAAGATAATTCTCCAAATGCTAACTAACTCTTCTCTTATTTTGTTTTGTAAATTATTTGGTGCTGGGATCCTGGAAACCTAACAATGAACCTAACAATGTCGTACAGTGATAAAACTTACAACTTTTCCCACCTACACACTTCACCCCTTGCTCAACAAGCACCCTCCTGGGAAAACAAACAGCATGTCTCAATTTAAGTCCTTCCTGCTTTGTCCATTTGACCCTGAGGACATTCACACATCTTTGGCAATGCTTAAGCAGGTTTATGATAGACTTACTCTTTATTGCCTGGTTTCTCTTTCTTAGTATCACATTGCAAATCTTGATCAGCAAGGATCAGAGAGATGATTATTAATTTCTAGGGCTTAGAAAACATATCCTACATAAAACGTAATGCAAATCTTACCTTCTTAATCCATTCTCAAATCATGCATTTTTAAAATGCTCCTGAATTCTGCCTTCGAGGTTGACATCATTTTTTACTTCCTTATTCTGTTCTGTTGTAGATAGATAGGGTAATCTGCATTTTTATGATACTTCTGTGTCATTCATACATTGTTTGAGCATTAACTATATTGTCATTGACAACAATAAGCATTCTTTCTAAGACATTTGTTACAAATATAGTAAAGATTAGTTATCTAAGTTGAAGACTATAAGTCCTATATGAACCATGTTGCTTTTTCTCCAATGACTTGGATATAATTCATGACAAATAACCAAAGGCTGTTTCTTTAATTAACTTCTACTCCTTAAAGACAAACTGTCCATAATAAAATACTATTCTGTGGAAAACTATTCTAAACTGAAACCATCCTATTACACATACACACACACGCACACATATACACATACACACTTAAACACACACATGCACACACACAAAATGTACATTTGGGGGTGGGGGGAGTAACCCTGTAACTTAATTCCAGCTGAATGGAGGGGGATAGTCTATACATCACCAGTACTGTAGCTGTGGAAGGACTCTGTCCACAATGTCTATCTAGGCTATCAAAACCATCTTTGGGTATGAGAACAGCCATAAGAATCTAGCCTAGTGCCAACTTTCAAAAAACTGGGCTTTGAAAATTTAAATACTAAAAGAAATTATGAATCCTCTCAATGGAAATAAATGCTCTTGGTCACTAAATAATTGATTTCCTAAATTAATGGAACCTTCCATGAATATATAGCAGCATGATTAGTGCATGTGCTACTCCAGTTTCCTGGCTATTAGCATATTGCCTAAATGAAAGCTCAGAAATTCTATGTTATGAATACTCATTTATGACTACATTAGTGTTCAGAACTAGGGTGCAAACATATAATCTTCATACAAATATAATCCAAGAGAGATACCCAAATAGTTCTTCTGACATCGCTCCCTAGTAAATATATGGATGAAGTCTTTTGGTGAAAATAAAATGAAAAATATAGGTATTGTAAATATTGTGTAGTAATAAAAGATTCTTGAATAGAAGTTATATAAAGATTTCCATTTTATTTCAATGCAAAGTTTAAAACAAATGTTATTCAAGATCTAATTTCTAAGGTTGAGTTCATTGATTAAGTGGCAGAACACACAATTCCACCACAAGAAATGCTTGATGAATAAATAACCCACACTTGTGCTGCCAAAAACAACAACGTTGTGTAAGTATATATGACACTTCAGACTGAGTGAGCATAGGCTTTTGCCCTTGACCTGTCTCTGAAAACATTCAGGTGAAAAGAAATGGTACAAGTATTGAACAACTTTCAGTTAATTAAAAAGTAGCCATTAATCAGTGTTGCTACAGGTGGAGGTCTAAATAATTTTATTAAACTCTTAATATTTATTTTATGCATTATTGCTTTGCTCTGTTATGATATTAATCTTGAGATTTAAAAAAATGAATCTTCAGAAGAATTTACTTCATTCAAGTAGGCAATGTTTCAGTACAGAATTTCAGTAGGAAAATGATTCTAAACTTTGGAGTTAATATAACAGACATCATCAGTTAAATATAGTGGAGAGTAGTATCTAGTCACATGTGACTTATAGGATATATTGGAGAGTGTCAGAACATATGGGACCACTATTAATATTAAAAGGAATTGTAATCCTAGACAGGGTCAACATAGCATATAAATAGACAAGTAGCAACATCCCAAAATGGATAGAGCACAATATTTCAGCAATTCATGCTTACATCTTAACAGGAAGAATAACATTTGAAATGTGTTCCAAGGTGCTACACTCTTTTCTGATCCTAGGATTCAGTCTTTATGGAAGATATCTGTAAGAACTGAGAATGAGACCTACTTATGTTGTGTTAAATGCTTGATGGAATACTGGTTATTTTATATTATAAATTTCCTGAGTATTTGCTGACTTAAAAATCTCAATTATCTCACATGTCTGTTGAGAATCTGTTCATGGACTGGGCATGGTGGTGTAATGGCTTTAATCCTGGCACTCAGGAGGCAGAAGCATTTGGATCTTGTGAGACTGAAGCCAGCCTGGTTGATATAGTGGGTTCCAGGGAAGCTGGTGCTACAAAGGAGACCTTGTTTCAAAAAAAGACCATAAATAAATAATCACCTTCATGTTTCGCAGAGTTCTTCTTCCATAAAACTGCAATTAATTTTGTTCAGTATATGCTGACAAGATTGTCTTATAGGAAGTTTGCCATGAGCCTCATAGTTAGCTGTCATTTGAGGTGTCCTCAGTTTCTTGTTACAT